TATCGACAGCGTCACATTTGTCGAATGGGGATTCGGCCATCCATCATTCGCCGCAAATTATGCGCGGCCTCGCAGATAAGCCGCGCGCCGGTGCAGGCACCGCGCCTTCGCCAGCAACGGGCGGCAGCGGCGGCGGCGAGCCCACGGAGCCGCGAAAATGCGTTGGCGGCTGACGTCATTAGGAGAGTCGACCCTTTCGCCGCCCCTGCTCCTATGGCTACGGTGGCTGGAGTCAGCTGGTTTGGGGCCAGGAGTGCTTTCAGCTCTAATGAGCTAATGAGTCCCTGCACCCGGCATTCCCTGGAGCTTGGGGAAACTATACTTCGTTTCAGCTTCGGTCCGAGCGCGGCCAATGTTATGAGCCGAAGGGCCAGTCAAACAGCGAAAGCGGCACAACGTCATGGCGTGCTCTCTGCAGTTGATAGGACCAGCCGATATTCGCTGTGTCTCTGTGCGTGCTCCTCCGCCGGCTAGTCCCATCAGGCACAGAGAGCACGCCTTGACGCTGCGCTTTTCGCGCTGTTTGATTGGCCCTTCGGCTCATAACATCGGCCGTGCTCGGACCGAAGCTGAAACGAAGTATAGAGACTCCAGAGCCATTTGCGCTTTCTGATTGGCTGATATTTTGCACAGTATTGTTTCACCAGAAGAATGTATATACATGGTGTTTAATTTTAATTCCAACAGATTTAAATAAAGGGAAATATTTATACGAGTGTCGTTTTCACTATCTATTTATCAGTAGAAGAATCTGGAGTTGGGCAAGTTGGTACATCTTAGATTCGAAAAGCGCCACAACACAAGGACATCAGAAGGAATAGACAAAACGATGCGCATCGTTTCGTCTATTCCTTCTGTTGTCCTTCTGTTCTGGCGCTTTTCGAATCTATTTATCAGGCTCGGCGGACTTTCAAGATGAGGGGATAATTCTATGGGTAACATGACTAACTAAATAAAATTTGCTAATTAACTTTTTAATTAATAGTTTTTAATTTGTTAAATGGTAATGATTATTATAATACAATTTGATAATTTCATTTTTTTTTTTGTCTGATTTAGAAATTTCACTGTAAAAGAGTGCCGCAAGTTCTACAATGACGTTTGGAAGAGTGATGCAGTGGCTTCAGTCACGTGGTCACTACCTCTGCAGCGTGTCCTTTTTGGATGCGCCGACAACACAAGTCCATGGCGACGTGACTAAAGCGATAACGTCACCCTTCTAAGCTTCATTCTGGGCAGGGCTTACGGCGCTCCTTCTGCGCGCAATTTTCAAATGCGGCGATAAAACGGAAATACAAACAAATCTGTCATTAGTTGTTTCAGTATACAGCAGTAGTTTAGTCTGCCATAGCGTTGCGACATTGCAACCCCCTGTAGATGAGGTGGTAGATGAGAAAGTCCAGTAAAAAGAATATAAATTGGTCGTTAGTTGTTTATACAGGGGGAGTTTAGTCTGCCAGAGCATGGCGACATTGTTACCCACCGTAGATGAGCAATTTAGCTAGTGCAGTACGACTGCTCGACTGGGGTCTTTAAAGAAGCCACGCAACAATGTTTTTACTTTCTCTAAATATTACTTACTATCACTTCCTAACGTTACTATAGTCGGATACAACCTGAGAACAATCTTTTAGCTCCACCCACAAGCGCATTGCGCCCATCTGAAGTGCCTCCGCCGTCGCGAAAGTAGTTCGCTAGCAACGTTGCTTTTTCTTCCTCCAGGAAACGTGTCTTAAACTACTACAATATTTATTTAATTCATTCAGGACATTTAAATAAGTTGGAATACGTTTTTGTCAACGAAATAGCTGTTTAGTAAAAAAAGAAAGTCATGTCCAATGTACCGTCTTCCCAATTCATTTTCTGTCCAAGATACTGTCTAACATACCGTCTTCCAGCTCTCAGCAGTGCTAAGCCTCGCGCCCGCTTCGAAATTTTCGTGGGCGATAGCGTCGCTGGATTCTCACGTTGTCGCGCAAAATCTGCTGCAAACGCAATCCGATACCATTAAGATTTCGTGGCGTAAACTCGGGCACGTAAAACACGGTGCAAAAAAGCGGAATAATGGTCACGAGAAACTAGCGTCGCGTTGCTAAGGCCAGCAGCCATGTTGAGCTTTTTTCTTTTTTTTTTTTTTCAAAAGGATCGCGATTGGTCCACGGAATCGTGACGTCATGAAAACGATTGGCTGGCGTTTCTCGGCGTAGGATTCCATTTTCCTCTGAGAGGCATTTCCGGTTTTTTCTTAGCTTGCAACCGACTATAACTCAATAATATTGCCTTAGTTTTTCTTTCGAGGCAATGACAGTCGCCAAAACGACTTGAGAAATGTGAGCATCATTCATCCCTTCAACTTAGAGCCAGAACAAGCGGCCACGTGGCCTGGTGCTTATCCTATAGGGAGTATTCACTGGCGGCCATATCTGTGTGCATGGTTGCTGAGCGCGGGCTGACGGCGAGGTTCCACAGTTCTTTTACAACGCGCATTCCGACCCTGAAGCCCTACAAGCCCCTGCTGGGTTCGACGAACCTGCCTATTGCCGTCCTGAATACATCCTGAGTAAATAAATTTATTATTATTATTATTATTATTATTATTATTATTATTACTATTATTATTATTATTATTATTAATTTTATTACTAATTGCGGCAATGCATGCAGGCTCCCAGTAAACGCTACGATCACATAAATACGCCACTTGACCATAATGGTCTCTCCAGAAAGGTCTCCTTTTGTTTTCTTTAAGCATATGCAAAACTCTGATATCGTTATCAAGATCGACAAACAGTCACACACTGGATGTAATATAAAGTCCTATGCGTCACGCGTTGCTTTAAAAAAAACAACACTTTTGCTGTTTGACTCGGATTTTGTTTTTGGGTTTTTTGTAGTGAGAACAGCGTTTCTTAATTTATACGTTTTGTGAATATAATCTGAACTAATCACCCGTGGCGATATTTTGTAAAATTTTAATTGATCCTGTCATTCTTGTGCTGGGAATAATGTTGAAACAAGTAATCATTTAAATACCCAGATACCCATTAAAAGGCCCGCAGTTCAATTTTTCACATGACAATTATCTGAGGCAGAAAAGGCAACTAGAACATATAGATATCAACGCAGTTTTTTAACGAATATAATATTCTATGTTACCTTTAAGGTGTATGAAAGACGCTGTCTTTAAAGAGACACTGAACTCTTCAAAATATTTTCAAGTGCCTGGATAGGACATGTATGTCACAAAACAAACTTTCCGCAAACACGATCTTTAGCTAAATAATTACGCTGTGAGACGCATCTTGAGTTATGAAGGAATCCCATATTAACATCTGTTCCAAGAAATTAAATCCAAAATCGAGGTTAGTTTCGGTTTCGTTCCAGAATTAAAACGTGCCTCCTGGCGTAAATATTACGCTTAATACCGTTTCTGTTTTCAGGATAAAGAGGTGACCTGCTGTTATAACACCCTAGCTTCGTCGTATAAGCGGGAATAATTTGCATCGCTCAGTGAAGCAAGCACACTAGACATGCTTTGCAACTGGTATACCAGCACGTATATTTGACCCTCGCTATAACTGCCATTTCAGGAAACGAAAGGAGCCACCTCTTGTGATTTGGAGTCGCGAATTACCAGCCGCGCGCCGTGCGGACCTAGCGCTGACAGGCTGTGAATCGCGTTTGGGTCGCAGAGTTTGCGCTTGGTCCAGCTGGGCCCTTGATGGCATGATGACTTCGAGGCCGAGATAATATAATAAGGGTGCAGGCGAGCTGGTGAATGTTAACCATGTTGAGTAAACCTGCGACTGGGGCACAAATGCCCAGTCTCAGGTTTATTCAACATGGTTTCAAGGTCGCGCCGGATCTCCCGAGATGCATCGCGCTCTTCGCTCAGGCACGTAGCCAGGGGGAGGGTATGGAGACCGCCCCCCCCCCCCCCCCGAAATCTTCCATTTTGCTGGAACCTCCTTTCCCTCCTCCCCCTCGTACAGCATTTTGTAATGGGCGGTCCCCCAAAGAAACAAAATCCTGGCTACGTGCCTGTCTTGGCTGACTGATTTTGTAGCGCTCACCAAAATCCTGTCATTTAGAACGAAAAATAGAGCCATCCGCCTAACATACAACCATGCGATTATCATTTACAGGTTTAGCTGATCCTATTTGACTTATTTCTTAATGTTTTCTGTATATTTCAACTTTCGATTCAGTATCCCTTTAAAGGAGCTGTGCAACAATTTTCGTACTGTGCACAGATACCGCTTAAAACAAATCCCTAACGTTAATGACCTATGAAACAAGCCTTCGTTTTTCACCCCACGCAATAGAAGTCCCAGAAAAAAATTTAAGAAAAACGAGCAGCGTTCACCCCCTCAACTCGCAGCCAGAACAAGCGGCCACGTGATCTGGAGCCGATTATTTGCCGCCAATGTAGATCATAGCCACGCGCTGGGGTTGGCAAAGCGCAGGACACGCGCTGAGTTCCAGACATTGTTATGGCTCGGCTGTTGTCGTCTTTGCAGCGATTGGACACGGGTCACTACGCGAATGCTTCTCGAGCTAGCAATTATCACGAGCCCAAGTCGAGTGCCCACGCAATGCTCGGGTCCAATCTATGAACCGCATTCAAATATCGTCACTTGGGTGTACTGCGATCCCCGAATTACGTCATCATATTTTGCGAAGGAGAGATTGAATGAAAATGATCGCTTTTGTCCTTGAAATTACACCGCAACAAAGGAAAGTCTCGGCCATTGGCGTTGCGTGTGAGTATCCTTGAGTCCCAGGTGTGCCAGTAAGCTCGTGTAGAGAGAAAAACATTCCAATGGAATATCGTTGCACAGCTTCTTTAAGCTGAAACGAAGTACAGAAGGACCGCTCTTGCAGCTTCCGCTCTTTGGCATCCCATTCACCCAAAGATGAAGACGAAGCGATTGTTTCGCCCTTCTAGATCGCGCACTCGTGCCAGAATCTGTTCGTTCGAATCTCACAACAGCCGAAGCATGCAGACAGAAACCTCCATCGCATCGCCAGAACCACCGGACATCAAGTCCGTGTTCGTCGCTTTAGCGGGCTGCGGAATCTTGCTCCTCATGATGCTTTCCTGGTCTGCCTTCGCGCTGAGCAAAGCCAGCGTTTTCCGCAGTGCTCCCAGCGCCGTCTCTGATACGCCAACGCGGCAGGTCGTCAACGCCTCTCCAGAGCCGCAGATTCTTAAAGACTACTCTCGTCCAGCACACGCTCTCATATCTCGCTCCAAGACTGGCAACCTCGGCGGCCGCTTCGCCCTTTTCCCGGCCGAGTACTACTACAACAACAGCCACAAGTACCTGTGCTTCTACCAGGCGACGGCGGAACGGCTCGAGGCGTCGGGCATCGTGTTCGAACTGTCCCTTTTCCCGTACCACCTGTGCACGCATGCCGTCTTCTGCTGCGCCGCGGTGAACGCCACCACCTTTCGTATCGAGGCACCGGATGAGGCCCAGAAGTTCGCCTTCTACCTGCAGACACGCAACCCGTACATCAAGGCGGTGCTGGGCATTTCGGGGAAGGTGAGCGCCTCACTGCTGGACAACTCTTGGACCTTCCTGGAGGGCAGCGTCACCTGGCTCCGCTCGCGTCGCTACGAGGGGCTCGTACTCGCCTGGCAGCAGACTCTGGAATCGCTGGACGCGCGCAGGAAGTACGGTGACTTGCTGGAGCGCGTGGGCCGCCGCTACTTCAGGGAGAACCTGAGCTTGAGCGTGGTCCTTGACGCGTCCGATAACTCAAAGACGGCCCTGGACGTTGGGGAGCTGGACTTGATGCTGCCGACCAACTACAGCATCCTCGTTCATCCAATCGTCAGCGACCCTCCGATCGTTCGTTCGGACAAGATCGAAGAGCGCGACGCGGTCGTGTACGAGCGGCAGCGTCTTTACAGGACCCTGAAGGCGCTGCAGTCGGCTCTGCAGCGATACCGCCCAGGAAGCGGCATGTACAAGATGTGCTACGTGCTGTCGTTCGCCGGATCCTCGTACAAGTTCTGGGACCGAAACACGACTGGCGTGGAGGAAATCGTGTTCGGTCCGGGAGACGCGGGTCCCAGTACCAGGACTCCGGGCAGTCTCGCCTATTACGAGATCTGCAACGAGATTTGGGACTCGAGCAAGGTGTTTGAGTACGGCGTCGTGTCGCAGCGGGAGGACAATCTGGTCGCTCATCTCTCAGAGTTTGTCGTTCCCGTGCTCGCCAAGTACTTACACGATGTGCTCGAGGCGAGGTGCTTTGGAGTCTGGAACCTGTGGTTCGACGACTTCGCTGGCTCCTGCGACATGGGTCCTTACCCGCTCATGAGGAACTTATTCGGACTCTTCGGCGACTAGTGACGCTTCGAGGCGAGCCTAGATATTACTCTTGATCAATCTTGTAGATTCAAAAGTTTTGAGACGTCTACCATTATTATCGAATTAGTGAATCACACAACCCCTCCTCCAGCGGCCTCGCTCACAAATATAAGTACTAATGTTTTCAGTTTAAACCAATAATAAAATATTGACATTCGTTTCCAATTTTACAATAAGAGCACCCTACCAATCTAACGAATGTCACAAACAAAAAAAGCTATTCGCGTGTTTTGCTTACTGTTTTTTCTTCTTTTTTTAGGCCGGGACTCGATATTGATGACGAAATCGAGGAAACATGACGTCATTTCTTTCAGTGTCGCTTCCGACTAAGCGCGCCCGCTTCGAGCTTGACGAGATTGGAAAGTAATTGAACGACTTAGGCGGCCCCTCCACTTCTGTCGTTTCGGCACTGCGCACTCCGCCACGCTACAGTGCGCACAATGTGAAAAACGAGACGGCCATTTCCCTGTCGTCCCGCGAACAGCGCCCCAAGCGCCCGTGGCGTGATCCCGAGCAATTTGCCCCCCTTTTTATTCCCGCCTGCGCCCTCCCTCCCTCCGGCCTTCCGCTTGCCCTGAGATATGTCTGCTATCGCCAAGAGCGGCGTTGCTTATTACGCTAAAAGCTCTTCGTCACTCGCTGTCGTATCGCCTCCTCTTCGCCTCTCGCAGCACCGTGTTTCCGAAGCGCGTGAAGAATCGTCCCGTAAAACGAGCGAGCCATATTTCTGCGTGGCGCGTCTTGGTTTCGGGAAGCAGAAGGAGCCCGTATTTGCGGGGGATATGACACGCGCGGATCGGAATTGGAAGGCGGGTCCCGCCTCGCAGATCGGGTCCCGCTGTCGCCGCTGCTTAGCCTCCGGACGGCGGGTCCCCCCCTCCCCCCCCCCCCCTCCCCCTCTGAGTCACGCGCGAACCATTTTCACCTTCTTTTGGTTCTGCGAGGGTGGAGACTTGTAGACGACTGCTGGTGGGTATTCTGGCCACTGCCATATTTCAACTCATGAAGGAAACACGTGCGATTTTAGCTAGTTGATGTGGAAGCCGCGTGCGCTGGTATTCGCAGCTTTCAGGGCCTATAGGGGCGCACCAGTTTCTATCAAGAGAGTGCCTTCATACACACGCGCGCTTTTGCTTGAATGGTGACATCTCAGCATTTTTTCTGCCCAATCGCTTTTTTATGCATCTTGAAGTGCGCGCAATCCGGTGTCACTCAGCTCGAGCGCGTAGCTCTGACTAATGCATAGACGCCATTTTACCGCCCAAGTCACGCACCGAGTGCGCGAGAGTGTCACGCGCTGGCACATTCAGGGCAACAATGGATGTGTTCACACTGAGACAGACAGACATGTAGGCACCCTATATCAAGAAGATGGCTAGCATTAGGATTAGGGTGCCTACATATCTGTCTGTCTTAGGGTTAAGACATCTGTTGCTGCGCTGAGTAGGCGAGCGCGTGACGGGCTGGCGCACTCAGTGCGTGGCTCGCGCGGTAAAATGGCGTCCACGAATTAGCCAAGGCTGTGTGCTCGAGCTGGGTCACAGCGGATTGCGCGTACTTCAAAAGACAAAAAAAAAAAAAAAAAAAAAACGATGGGACGGAAAAATGGTTGAGATGTCACCACTCGAGTAAAAGTGCGTGTGTGTATGTATGAAGGCACCCTAATCTGGCTGATTGTTGTAGAAGAACAGCGCGAGCTTGGGCTTGTGACGCGTAAATAGATTTTTTCCTACGTTTTTTGTTTCGCGCTTGGAGGGGTACAAAGATGAAAGGTCGATGTCACGAAATTTTGGTCACGGAAGTGACCTCACAAAGGCGCCCCTCCTGCGGCCAAGAGCCGCGCAGTGCGCACGTGCGCCCTTCTTATGTGCTGGTTTGCTCGTTTTGCCGCTTCAACTCGACGAGATCCTGTCGGATTGCCACGGCGGTATACGCCGCTCCGGCAGCCGTGATTCCGCAGTCTTCGGTCATCGCTCTGAACCGAGTAGGACCGAGAGAGACAGGACCGGTTCTTAAGCCTCTTGCGACGGCGAAGGACCCGCTCCGCAGCAGCGCATCCAGTCCTCCGCCGTCGCAAGAGGCTTTAAGTCCTGCAACGACTTTTTGGCTATTTCGTCGTTTATCCTGAGATTGGGGGGTTTTTAGAACAGCAGAAGTAACAGAAAAAACAGACAGGTCTCTTGAGACCTGTCTGTTTTTTCTGTTACTTCTGCTCTTCTAAAAAAACCCCAGTCTCAGGGTCAACGACGAAATGGTTGACTTCCACCAGCTAACCTGTACTTTGACTCTTTTCTCGTTACTTTTTAACTGGTTTTTAATTTGCATCGAACCTGACGCACTGAACGTAGTAGCTTAATCAAACTTTCCTTTTCTCAAATTTCGCTTTCTTTTAAAAGTTATAGACAAATTAAAATTACAAAACAAGCAAAAAATAACCTCCTTCATGACGTCCTTGGTCCTGGCTTGAGTGGCCGCAAACTAGAGGAGGTGTACTGAGCTCAGCGAGCTCTGACGGCTGCCGCACTCCGTGTCGACGGCTCGAGAGGGCACCACTAAAGCATGAGCTAAATGAAGAGGGCGGCCAGGTCTGTTCAGATTGCATTCGCTGCCCCACTAAACACTAACTTAGCATGACACTTCTTTGGCCACAAACGACTGCAAATACGGGGTAAAGATCAGTTAAGGACGGGAGCCACCTCGCGCTGCCATACCGCCAAACGGCCCAACCGCAAGCCAAACCTGCTCGCCGAAAGCCTTCAAAACGCTCAGAACCGGTCGGATCCTCGAGCCCATATAATTGCAGCGCCGCCGCGTACATCCGGGACCTTTCTACACTAGCCGCTCGTCGGCGCCTGATCCCACTACCCCTTTCTAGTATGTGCCGCCTTTTCCACCGCTTGGTGGCGGGTATGTTGACGGGTCATTTCTTGCTTCCCTACTTTATAAACTGCATTTGTTTCTTTTCTGAAAATACTGTGCAAAAACTACTTTCATAAATAATTAGAACGGTTCGCTCCACTTTTGTATTTCAACTAAAAAAAAGCTTTTATAGAGGCTCTGACCAGTCGTAAGGCAGGAGCTGGACAGGACCAACAACGTCACGATTTCGCCACACACCGCGCGCATTCGGCACCACGGGGCGCCCACGTAGGTGGAGGAGGCTTCCGCGTCGTCCGGTGAAAGTATGACGCACTGATATTTAGTCCCTCTCTCCGAGCCCGCTGAATTGCCCGAACTACGAGAGATATGGAAACCGCAGAAAAGGTAGACGCTTAAATAGGATTGCAGGACCCCTTAAAAAAAAACAAAAAAACTAAGAAGCAAAACAATTTTTTTAACAGTCTAGTTGGGATACGCGTGTCCAAAAATTAAATTCACGTGAAAAAAGAAAAAAACTTTAGAGCAATATTGACGGCACGAGAAGCGATTTGGTCGGTAGCCACCTCCTTTCCACTTGTTTTCTCTCTCGGCATTTCGGGCGTGCGGAGGAGGCTAATGACACTCAGGTTTAGATGTTGAGTTTGGTAAACCCAAAGCAGGACTGGTGCGGGAGTCATAATAAAAAAAAAAAATGCCGAGGTTAATAATTCACTCATAGCAATAAATTATAATAATTAATTTTAACACGAATCCAGTGATAATCGGCATTTCGGGCGCGCGGAGGAGAGGTGGATCGGCTTCCCCTTTACGACCGAGATGGTCATTCCGGAATGACCCGTGACGTCATGAACTTTGCGCGCAGAATTTTAAATAATCTCTCGCCGTCAATATTGCCCTACCTTTTCTTTTCGCGTAAAATTTTGTTTTTGACACGCGTGTTCCAACCAGACTGTTTAAAACAAGCATATTTTTTAGGTGCCCTTTAAAAATCGGGTTTCTCTCTCTCAGTCCTCCTTGGTACTTAAGCATCGAAGATAATGTTGGGAACGAAGGTACACGCGCTGCACGTGCTCGCATTCACTATAGAAAAGATTCCAAGTAAATAATCCAAATAAGGCGTCCGTGGAACTGGCGTGTGAAGTGCCATTTGTTTTCTTTATTTTTGCTTTCGAACAGTTAGAGCTGAAGAAGCCAGCACGCGCAGCGCGTGTACCTACGTTTCCGGCATTCTTTTCGATGCTTGGGTATTCGGCAAAAGGTCTATTCTGCGTATGCACCCCCTGAGATGGCGGCGCGGGAGGCTGCATATTTGCCTCTACCGGATTCCGAGCCAAGGACTTTCGCTTCAGGCGCCCGTCATCATCATCCGGCAGGAGTCCGTGGACGTTCCTGCAGCTGCGGCCGTAGTGCTACGGAAATTTATGCAGCATATTAAGCATAATAACATGGTTGCCACCAATTTTACTCCGGTGACACATAGCTTTTGTCATTTACTAACGATCTTCATTCTGTCCTTGATTGTGGATCCCACGTTGACTGTGTTTTTCTAGATTTTTGCGAGGCTTTTGATAAAGTTCCTCACCAGGTGCTTCTATTAAATTTTAACAAATTATGTATTGATCCTAACGTAGTTGCCTCGATAGCCTGTTTTCTAACTAACCGATATCAGTTTGTTACTGCTAATCAGAACACGTCTCTCTTCACTTCCGTCACATCCGGTATTCCTTAAGAATTCGTACTAGGTCCTCCACTGTTTCCGACTTACATCAATGACCTACCTAATTGCGTGTCACCATTAATTAATGTTTTCGCTGAGGACTCTGTAATATATGCTAAAGCTACTAACAACTCTGGTGTTTTAAAGCTCCAGACATATATCAATGCTGTTGACCAGGGGTGTGCACTTTGGAATATGTAACTTAACATTACTAAATATAAACTTATGAGGAAGTCGCGTACTAATCCACGTGTGCCTTTCTACCATCTTAACAACGTCCCCTTTGCCCGTGTTTCTTCTTATAAACATTTGGTCTTTCACATTACTTGTAATTTGTAACCTCTCCTGGAAACTGCATGTTGATTATGTTATCAATAACGGT